CAGAAACAGAACACAGCATCCCAAGAAAAACACCTGCTACCCACAGTAAAATTTGGTGGGGGTTCTATCATGCTATGGGGCTGTGTGGCCAGTGCAGGTACTGGGAATCTTGTTAAAGTTGAGGGTCGCATGGATTCCAGTAAATATCAGCAGATTCTTGAGAACAATGTTCATGAATCAGTCACAAAGTTGAAGTTGCGCCAGGGCTGGATATTTCAACAAGACAATGGCCCTAAACACTGCTCAAAATCTACTAAGGCATTCATGCAGAGAAACAAGTACAACGTTCTGGAGTGGCCATCTCAGTCCCCAGACCTGAATATTATTGAAAATCTATGGTGTCACTTAAAGCAGGCCATCCATGCTCGGAAACCACCAAACCTGACTGAACTGGAGATGTTTTGTAAGGAAGAGTGGTCCAAAATACCTTCAACCAGAATCCAAAGTCTCATTGGAAGCTATAGGAAACATTTAGAGGCTGTTATTTCTGCAAAAGGAGGATCTACTAAATATTGATGTAATTTTTCTGTTGGGGTGCCCAAATTTATGCACCTGCCTAATTTCATTTAGGTAACCATTGCACACTTTCTGTAAATCCTATAAAGTTCATTTGACTTCTCAAATATCATTGTGTTCGAAATTGCTGATCCAAACAACCAATGATTTATGAAGAAAAATCGTGAAAATTTTCAGGGGTGCCCAAACTTCTGCATACCACTGTATCAGAGAGCAACTTGGGGTTAGTGCCTCAAGGACATTTGGCATGCGGACTGTAGCAGATGGGGATCAAAACACCAACCTTCCAATTATTAGCAGACCTGCTCTACCTCCTGAGCCAAAGCCACCCATTTGAAATTGTTGTACCAAAAGTATATGAATATTGTTGAAGAGCACAAAGAAGTCTTATATGGAACTGTGAGTTTGCAGCTGGAAATCAAAGGGATAATGTTGAAATGTGAATGTGTATGCCTCACATGCCAGAAGACAAAGAGGAATTCTGGTGTTAAGTCGATGCAGTGGTAGAGTTATCTAGGTGTGCCTTAAAATGCACTCCTAGATAGATTGATAAACCCTGGGATAAATAGGATAAGTAGTTTTGTGTTACTTGTGTTGAAGTTGTTGTTTGTGTAGCTACTAAGGCTGGTAGGTCTAAATATCCCACCTGAAAGTTCTTTCACGTACAAGGACGAGGGGAGCAAGTAAATCAGTTCTCAGGGCGCAGAGACTGAGCAGGTCTTAAATACACCATTTATTCCCAAGAATGAAGAAATTCAGAATTACAAACACAATTTTAAAAGGACCTTTATGCAATAAAAACATTTTCAGTATGCTAAAATCCCTGCCAACAGGAATAAATATACACTATGCAAAAAGAAAAACCAAAAAAAAAAAACCACTGTCTGGCCACGCTCGGGCAAATGTTTCTTATCTTTAAAACCAGGATAGAAATTCCTCTTCTGAGGGACAGAGCACGCCAGCCAGAAAACCAAGGAGGAACCTCCTGTCTCAGCCCTGTTTCTTCCTAATGGGCGCGTCGCCACACAGCCCAGCTGCACTCCACACTTGGGCTCTCGATTACTGCAAACACGGCTGCCTCAGAGCACGCCCACACTTCAACAATTGCCTGCTATTGTCCGCCCAGTCAACAGTGGATTAAAATAATATCATGCAACAACACTAAAACATGCAACATAAATATCAGGGTAAAACCATGCAAATAAAATCAGTACTGTATGCACGAATATATTACAATCAAAACAACAAAAACCCTAAAACGAACACAAATTTCCACTGTGTGACATCTGCACTGTGTTCAATGCCCTGAACACAAACAAAAAGTAGGCTTTATTATAAAGCCACTCCTCCACTATTTACCTACCATATTTTTTGGAGCATAAGGCGCACTGGATTATAAGGCGCACTGTTGATGAATGGGTCTGTTTATAAGGCGCATTCAGTGAAACAAAGCAGTCAGATAAGTCAAACTTATCCGCTGAATTCAAAGGCAATGTATGATGTAGTTACCTGTCAATATCTACAGGGGAGATTAAAATATTAATGAAAGTAAAGGGAGAATTTGGCAAAACAGCTGAGTTACATGTAATAAATTGAGATATTTCCATAGATCTCAAAGTGTTGCTGAGCCTGTACCTGTTCAACTTGCCTGTTTTATGGACCATTGGTTTATATACAATGTGCATGTGCCAGAAACAAGCTGCTGCCCTTAGAACCTACAGCTCCAGTCACTTTTAATGTGGTACGACACGCTGTCAGTGGCAGAAATGACACTTTGTTATGAGACTGAAGTAAGTGCAGCTTTCAGTGGCAATATCTGACAGTGGCCACAAGGCAGCAATAATAAAAATGTTTGATGCACATATTAATTCACAGGTGAGGAGCTTTATGACAGAGCAGTGTGAGATTAAAAGAGTAAGATCATTTTAATTTGAAACCTTTTAATTTATGGCAAGGCAAGAAGTGTTTGCCTTGCTTGTCCTGATGTAACTGCCACTTGTATATATGAATAGCTGATTGGGAATTAGAAAAAGAAGGGAGCCAAGACATGTGAAAACAGTCAGGACAATCAGGGGGAGAGGACATGAAAGAAAAAAAAAAACCTTTAATGTAAAAACAGGGAGTAATCAAAATAGACTAATAGACTAATATGAATGCTAACACTTAGGATTTAAAGATAAGGAAATGCAAATGGACCGAGGTGTAAACACCAGTGTTGGGACTAACGCGTTATTAAGTAACGCGTTACAGTAACTACGTTATTATTGTGGTAACGAGCACGGTAACTAGTTATTGTGCCAAAACCAGGAACGCGTTACTCGTTACTGGGATTCGTTATTCGTTACTTCGTGTGGTGGCTATCGCGGAGCTTCCACAGATTCAATAACATTAGCAAGTGGTGGAAGCCAGCAGGTGGATGAAGGAAAAGGGAGGCAAGAGAAGAGACCCGAAGCGGCCGCTGGTCCGCGAGTGTCAGGTGAACTGAACTTCAGGTAAGAAGTTATGACCTGCAGTCCATCTGGGTCAGATATAAACCAAGTTTAGGTGGAGTTTATTTTCGTTATGCTGACTTTTTCGTACTGCGTGCTAGCTAGCATGACGGAGTTTCTATACAGCTGAGTGGGTGCTATGTTACTGATGTTGAACTTTATTTTGTTCATAAGGTTAAATATTAGAGTTGCCAACCGTCCCATAATCGTCTCGTATTCAGAGAAAATATTACGCGTTTCTTATTGAGGTGAAAAGGAACAGTTTGTCCCGGACTTCAGCTACAATGAAAAAGACACAAAGCTGAAGTTATTCTGTGTTTACGCTGCACAGCTGCCTCTTCTTCTCTCATTCTCTCCCCCTCCCTCTCCTGTTGTGAAAACTGATCAATGATCAGCTGATCGGCTTTTCTCTCTTGTTTATTTATCACCCACTTTGCGCCAGAAAGAGGAAACCAGCAAATGTCGCGCTAAACAACAGCAGCACGTTTAAGCTTGATCAGGTGTTGTTAGAATTTATTTAATATTAATTTCTAGTATCAGCTGATGTTTGCTGGAGCCACAGCTGTAAAGCTGCTGGTCATGATACGGTTTGGATATGTGGTGAGGGGGAAACATGAAGATGAAACCAGGAGATGTCCTTACTGAATCATCAGAGCTGTGATGGAGAAACAGGTTTACCTTTTAAGTGACATGAATGAGTTGAAGGGAAGTTATGAACTGTTTCTGAGAGATAAATAACACCAGGATCCTTTTCTAAGTAGCTGACAGCTGGTAACTGTGCAGGGGCGGGTCTAGCAAAGTGTTGCCAGGGGGCAGGTAGGGCATTAACAGGGAAAGGGGGGCACAAGGAAATACTTTCTTATTCTCATTTAAAATGTCTAGCTTTTAATAAATAATTATCTGAATCTTACAACAAATGATTGATAGACTGATACATATATACCATCAGAACAGTGAACATCACTGTCACAACAGTGTTTCTTTTCATTCAAAGGCTTTATGATTTTTCCTATAATGGTGGGCCGGTCTCTAGTCAAATTCTCCGGGCCAATTTTCTGTCCCAGTCCAGCCCTGTATGCAGCTCATCTGCAGTCTGGTGTTACCTACATCTTCCTATTCAGAAGGCAGAATTTCCGAGTTCTGAGTACAATCGAAAGCACCACGACTGCAGTTTTTGTGTTGGATGTAAAAAGCAGGCTAGGATAGAATCAGAAGTGGGATTTCTCTCGTGGAAGTGTGCACATTATTTTTTCCTTTCTATTGGTAGGTGGCACAGTGCACTTGTGGCAAGTAAGCAAGCTAGAAGACTGCCAATCTTGCTGGATATCCAGTTACAGAAGCAACACATTAACAAGAGAATTCTGAGTAAAACCAAAGTTACTTTCCCTAGTAACTAGTTACTCTGAAAGTAACGAGTAACTTGAAGTAACTGAGTTACTTTTGATAGAAATAACTAGTAATGTAACTAAGTTACTAATTTAAAGTAACTTACCCAACACTGGTAAACACAAAACAAGAGTGAAGGATCCGCAAACAGACACACAGGGATGTTGACTGCAACTCTAATGCCAATCAAAAACTATTCACTAAAATAGCCAAAAACAGAAACCAGATTCAGCAATGCAACAATGCAATCAAATCAGTCAAACCATAGAACAATGAAAAAAATTAAAACAGGAATCCAAAATTTCAAACATTAGAACAGAAAAACTAAACAGAAAACTAAAACTTGAATATATTAATTAAGATATTAAAACAGGATAGAAGGAGCACTTTGAACCTTCACAGGTGATATTAAGATATACTGATAAACTGAATTTTACTGAAATATCAGAGAACAAAGGCTACCTAAGAAGATAGAGCACAGAGAATTATAGAAGATTAACAGAGGGTTATCTAATGGAATTTTTGAACTCAGCTGTTGAGAAAAACACCACCTTTTGTGCAATCTGCATATTTTATAATAAGTGGTTTCATTGGCATACCTAATATTAGATATTATTTTGTCTTTCTATGTTTTATTTACATTTTTTCAGTGGTGGGGAACACTTTAGTGATGATTGTAATAATTTTGGATCGTATGTTGAGAAGTCCTAAATATATCGCAGTTTTTAATCTTGCATTTACAGACCTGTTAAGTAGCTCTGCTTTGGTGCCAAAGGTTGTTGACATTTTTCTGTTTAACCATTATTATATCTCTTACAACATCTGCTTGACTTTCATGTTTTTCTGCTTGACTTTAATTTCAATGCAGGCTTTTAATCTGGTTGTATTGTCCTTTGACAGAGTCATGGCTATCATGTACCCACTGCACTATCAAATGAGAGTGACCCAAAAGCTCATTTTGTCTTTGATTGCTTTTGGCCATAATTCTTATACTCATTGCAGTTGGCCTTCTCACAAGACTTTCTTTTTGTAAGTCTGTTGTTATTCAGAGCTACTATTGTGATCATGGTCCTATGTATCATCTTGGCTTCAATGATGTTACCCCCAATCGTGCAATTGCTGGTTTGGCACTACTTATAATTCTTGGGTTTCCACTGGCATTTATCGTGGGAAGTTACTGCTGTATCGGTTATTCTTTGTCAAAAATTTCTACATTTAGGGAAAGAGTGAAAGCTTTTAAAGCCTGCACAGGTCACCTTTCATTAGTGGCAATTTATTTCCTTCCTATTATATTTGTGTATGTTTTTCGGCCTGTAATACATCCAAATGCAAGGATCATAAACCTTTCTATGACCAGTGTCATGCCTCCCATGTTAAACCCAATAATCTATGTTCTTCAGACACAGGAGATCAAAGAATCATTGAGAAGATTGTTGAAAGCTAGAGCGCAGGCTAAATTGGAAGTGTTTAGACTTAAACCTTTGTAGTTCCCGATTTCTATTCTTTCATTCTATTTTTTTTTCTTTTTAAGTTGAATATGTAGGCAAAGTATTTCATACACAGTATTGCAGTCTTTTATGCATCAAGATTTCATTTGGAACAATAAACAATATAACTACTTTATTCACCGAAAAGCAAAATGATCTAAAACATTAGTGTGAGAATAAAAATTGACAAAAGACAACAACAGCCAAAAACTGTAATAATGGACGTTTATTCTTGCAAGGGAGCAAAAGCACCAAATATAAGGTTTCATATTAGATTTTGTCAATTCCACCCTCCTTTGCCTTAAAACCCTCACAAAATAAAAATTTCTTTCTACGGGCTTCTCACAGGTACAGTTATGAGTGTGTGTACTGCAGTGAGTAGATATTGAGTAGATAATTGAGTAGTATAATGAGATCACGACTAGACATTTTTTTGCAACTTGGGTGTACTTCCAGGCACTGAATGTACTGAGTTTACCCTTGAGTATAATGTAGCACACGCTAGTTAGAACATTGTATAACATTTGTTTTTACCCATCAGTTTTACCACCCTTCTTTCTGACTTTATGGATATTGGGTATTTGTTATGGAAACAAACATGATTAAGCAAGTAAGTCTGTATGAGAGGATTTAAGAATTATTTTCATCATACTAAAATAATTATAAAAAACATACCTGAGGATATGTCATCTTATTTACTCCTTAAAATTGTACATTATCAAACTGGCTTACGTGTGCATACGTGTGCATATATATATATACTTGAAATTTTAAGAAAAAGGATGCTATGGCTTAATCGCATATTGTAAAGATCAAATTAACACTGAAAAATATATACCGGTTTTGGAGCAAAATATGTAGCCATAAAGAAATAATCTTTTTCAAGAGAGGCCTTGCCAAATTGAGCATTTAGCAAGATGATGCCAAATCACATTCTACCAGTATTGTAACAGCATCGCTACAGAGAACAAGTCCAGTTATTAAAAACTCCTTAACTAATTAAAACATTTGGTACAGAATAAAATGTAAGATATGACAAAAGAAGCCCTGAACTCAAATCCATTTTTGAAATTTTTGAAAAAAAAAATTGAATTTGAAAAAAA